AAAGCACGCATAGAAGAAATGTCTGGCAACACCAGCAAAGTTTTGAGACGATTTTGCGACGACTGCTAGAAAGGGGTGCTCACAGTTTGATGCTAAAGATGTCACAAAATGTAGACGTCTACATTTTCAGACTCAATTTGGAACGAACTGTGAACACCTCAAATAAGTCTAACTGTGGCAACAAGTTAAGAGCCGTATACACCATGCAAGCGGTTTGTCAACTTTAAGAGCTAAATAAATCACACAAGCTGCTGGTTAAACCTACTTTAGTATTTTCTCATACACTTTTTTGTAGATGTAAAGTAAATTTCAACTTAACGCTAATGCAGGTAAAGTATCGATGTCTTCGATATATCGACCTGGGAATGTCGATTAAAAAAGTCGATTATCGCACAATAAAATATCGATATTCCGAATAATCGATACGATATCGAACATTCCTAGGTGAAAGTATCGATGCCAAAAGTACTTGGTTTCAAGATGAAAGTATCGAGTACCTACTTGGATTTACTTGTATCGCGAAATCCCTACACACGCATCTAATGCCTGACATACAGTTCAATGCGAGCGTGAGTTTTTTATTTTGACCAATATCTTCGTTATTACTTAACTTTTTGCAATAGTTGATACATCAAAAGATAGAGAATTAAAATATCTTTCAGAATTGTGGAATAAAAACTAATTTAAAATGCATAATATGCCTTTTTTTGACCTCACACTCAACTGTCTGGGTACGCAAAGCATCCGCATGTGAACGAAAAATTTTGACAGATGAGCGTCCATAAGAATACAAATGGAACTCGTTGCCTTTGTGAAAGTTCATGCTCACGCTCAGCGTTGCTAGGTTTAACGTCATTTGGACGTCTTTTATATCCTGTTGGCGTTTGGACGTTTTTTGTGTAAAAAATTACGTTTTTCAACTTCCCAGTAATTTTTCTCTGTTACTAAATCTTGTAAGTAGAACTGATTTTGAATAATTTTCTTAAAAAATATTTACAAGCTTTGTTTTTTGCAGCAGCTGCTTCAATAAATATTTATTCTTTCGACACAGATGACTTAACCCTTATCTAAGCGCATAAAGAAGTTGCATGGGCCCCTTATTGAAAATGTAATGAACGTAAAATGGCTGAAATATTGCTATGTTCCTTCTTAACAGAACGTAATTTAGCATTTTCGACAACAGACCACTTAACCAAATGTTTAGAAGAAGAAATAAAAATATATAAAAAATCAACGCGATTCCTTAGCACCTTAAAACTTGCAGATTATTGCCCTGGAATTTAATGGGCTATCAACCTGCATACTCAAAAAAATTCTAAAAAATCTGAATAAAAAGTTGAAAATCTAGCTGATATTTTGCAGATTTTTTATAAGTTTTGCACAAAGTTTGAGATGTGGATTTATATTTTGTTTGTTATATAATGAGCTAGGCTTTCATGGAAAAGTAATAAACATTAAATAAATAAAAAAGAAACAGCCGAAATCGATGACTTAATCAGCTGATCACAAGATCTCAAACCAGTTTAGAAAGAATTTTAAATGTGAGCAAATGACATTTTAATATACCTTACGTACATATGTACCTTTCTATACAATGATAGTTTAATAAGAACAATTCTTTGAGCATACATTTGAAAAAGACGTTTTTGGGTAGGAAATGACGTTTTTCAGACCAAGAGAGGCGTATTCTCATGCCGAAGACCTGCAACACTGCTCACGCTCGCATTGAACTATATATCAAGCTTAAGTGTACGTTCACACAGAAAGCGGAGCCGAGCCGAGCGAAGCCGTTCCGAGCTGAGTGAAGCTTTCAAATTGCTGTACCTATATGAAAGCTTTCATACAGCAAGATTTTTCGTAAGCGTTTTGGAGCTGAAAGTAAAGCACTTTTTGATTTTGAATTTTTTATTAAGTTTTTATGTTTCATGACGCAAACAAGATATCAAAATATTCAAATCAAAACGAATTTTGCAACAAATCTTTTGAATAAAATTGAGCAAATATTTTTGCCGCTTTTCATCGACGGTGAGTTTTGTGGTATATTTGCAGCAGAGTCCGTGAGATATCTGCGCTTCGCTCTATTCAGTGTGAACACCAGCAGCTTTGCTTTGTTCGGTTTTCTGTGTGAACGCACCCTAATGCTATGTTCGGACAAGTTTAAACAGCTGTTCCAACCAACCTTAAGACCAACACTCTATTCGATTAGTGGTGCCACACCATAACACCATAGCCATAACTAGTGTGATCACTTTTCCAAAAACTCATTTACGTACACAAAAGATTGTAGCAACACAAAATTTTAAAGACAAATTTTGGAAACGATTTTATTGCTGTTTATTAGTCGATATCCAAACACATTTTTGACGTACAAACTTCAGCATATTTATTTGCGAATTGAGAAATATTTAGGTACATACATACATTCAAAGCTGTAATAATGCAATTGCTGCTAAATTACAAAAGTGTCGGCCTATGTAATCAATTCATTGATTTTGAGTAGTTTTCCTGAACGCGTATTTTCCATCTGATGCAATTTCTTTCAGCATTTGAGGCTGCTTCCTTACGAATTCGAAAAATTCCGTACAAGTCATTTTAATGTTGTACCGAACAAACAAAAGATCTCGCAAAGTCTCGATTTTCAGTTGCGATTTCTCATCGCTCCAAATCTGATTGATCAAAGAAAATACGCGTTCAATACGCCCACTTTTAATTTTATTTTATCTCAACGGCCGCTATACCGCACTTATGCCTCAAAACGAGTCTACGATACGAATGACTTTAATATACAAAGACTCAAATGAGTTAGTTGAATGAACTGACTCCCTAAAGTGAGTTGGAGTCATTGAGTCAATTCTTATAAATTTGCTGAGTTACCCACCCTTAACGGACACAAGAAACACACAAATAAAGTATTCAGCAGACAGCGTTGCCAGTGTTGGGGATTTTATCGTCATTTTGACGAGGTGTTTATACTTTCCATCAACTGATTCATTATAATATTTTTAGTTTTTATTAGTCAAAATTTGCATGTTCGTATGTATGTTGGGCGCTCCTATCGATTAAATTTACGTACAACAATATTTCTTCGATTCAATTTACGTAAATTTTTTTTGATTTTGTGGTTACAGTGGCACATGCGCGGTTTGCGGGTCATGTTCGTCGTTTGTAGGGCGGTTTGCGAGCATGCTCGCCAAAAATCAAAATATTTTGATTTTCAGCGAGCATGCTCGTCGTTTGTAGCGTGGTTTGCGAGCATCGCATTGGAAACAAAAACAACAACCTCATTTTGTGTCGATGCTTGAAGTGTGCACATCGGCGGATAAATGCATCCAAGCCATGTTATTTAATTGAATTTTTGATAAATGAGGCTAAATTACTATAAGTATATGTATGTGCGGCTCTTGGGGTGTTTGAGAGAAAGATTTTGCGGAAGATTTACGGTCCTTTACGCGTTGGCGACGGCGAGTACCGCAGACGATGGAACGATGAGCTGTATGAGCTTTACAACGACATGGACATAGTGCAGCGAATTAAAATACAGCGGCTCCGCTGGCTTGGTCATGTCGTTCGAATGGACACCGACGCTCCAGCTCTGAAAGTATTCAACTCGGAACCCGCTGGTGGTAGCAGAGGAAGAGGGAGGCCCCCACTGCGCCCACTGCGATGGAAAGATCAGGTGGAGAAGGACTTGGCTTCACTTGGCGTTTCCAATTGGCGTCAGTTGGCACAGAGGAGAAACGACTGGCGTGCTTTGCTGAACTCGGCCAAAATCGCTTAGGCGGTTACAGCGCCAAAAAAGAAGAAGAAGATATGTATGTACGTACATACAAGTAAAGTATAAATAAATTTAAGTAACACATACATAAAAAAGTTAAGTTAAAAGCATTGCAATTGCATCATCCGCGTCTTTCCTTTCCATGTTTACGCTTTGAGTACAAAATCACTTATGAGCCGCTCGCCGTCTGTAGCAAACGACGCGAGCATGTTGGCGCATATGTGCGCGCAGATGTTCGTCGTGTGTAGCCAGTTTTAGCTTCAGTACACGGTACATGGCTACAAATTTACGTACTGTACGTGTCATTTACGTGCAGTTGGTTACACTAGTCATAACCATAGCCATAGAGACCAATTGAATTTTGGTTTTCCGCCATAAACATATTAGCTGATATCTGAAGTGCGTGTTGCCAGACGTTCAAAAAAAAAATATTGTTCACAGCCATAGTTTTGGCATACGTGTAGAATACGAACCATTTAGCTATGCAAAAACCAAAACTGTTTCACCTGTACCAAAACATTTTGGCGCAAAAATATAAACAAAAAATATATAAAAGGTTAAATTAACATTTTTTGATTTCCGAAATATTAATATCTTATGAGCTTCATAACCGATTCAAAAACTAACGATACCAAAATAAAGACAATTAATTTATCTTTCTGTTGATGTCCATAATTAATATGTTTTATTTTATTTTTAATTCAAAAATAGTGATAGTGAAAGAAGTTCTGCGCAAGTATCCTACGATATTACACATTTTCAGTATCTTGTTCNTGTCCATAATTAATATGTTTTATTTTATTTTTAATTCAAAAATAGTGATATTGAAAAAAGTTCTGCGCAAGTATCCTACGATATTACACATTTTCAGCATCTTGTTTCGCGTCTGGCAACACCGACATTGTGGACTGTCATTCCCACGACATCCGGTTCTACGTACCGGAATGACTCGGGTTTTACCCGACCAAGGGCTGTTGTTTCGGCGATCAAACCTCGTTTAGGTCGGCGAAATCCATCAAACGTTGCTCGATTCTAGGGCTACATCTGCACCGTAGCCTTCTGCTCAGGGCTGGTATAGAGTCTAACCCAGGGCCAGAAATTTACACCTGCTTCGTATGCCAGAGACGACTGCATACAAACTCCACCTCGGCCAGGTGCAATGCCTGTGACGGGTGGAGCCACCTCCGAAACTGCTCGGACCTACGTACGCACCGGCAATGGACCACGCAGTTCGTGGGCCCCATGCTGTGCGAACCAGACCGCCTCCACGGCAAACCACCACCCGCCCGGGCAGCACACAAGCAACACACCCACACCCCAACACAACACAACAATAGACACGCGTTCATCACGCACCACACCGTGCAGTATCGTCTTATTGAAGCAGACAGACCGCAGGGATACCATCCTAGAATGTCAGGTTATTGCTATCCGGTCAGGCGATGTTGAGCTCGAAATATTTAACGTATACATACCCCCTGTCACCAGCTGCCCGGCAGGATATCACCCTGAAATAGGTGCGCTACCACGATCTTTGGCACTCAAGCCTGTCAAATGATCGTAGGGGAATACATCTGGCTGAGCAGATAGACGGTTCGACATTCTGCACAATGAACGACGACGCACCCACCAGGATTATGGGCAGCTGCTGCAGCTCACCAGATCTAACACTTGTCAGCGCTGGTCTGATAAACAGCGTATCATGGCAACCTATGCTGACTCTAGCATCAGACCATCTGCCCATAGTCATCTCGATTGATAAACCTGCCGACTTTGCTTCCGTGGATCACCGGACCTATGTCAACTTTCCCAAAGCTGACTGGAAAGGCTTCGCGGATGTTACTGAAAGAGCCTTCACTGCACTGCCCATACCAAGCGAAACGTTCATGTTGGTGAACGTAAATTCCGCATGGTTGCCACTGCTGCTGCAGCTCGCTTCATCCCAGCAGGATGTATTAAGGATCCACGTCCGAACTTTCCTGCTGAAGCGGCTGTTCTAGCCTATGAGCGCCACAACCTTCGTCAGGCCGATCCCGGAAATCCCCGTATCAGAGATCTCAATTCGGAGATTCGGCAACTTGTGAACATGCATAAGCAGAAGAAATGGGAAGAGCATTTGAAGACCTGCAACTTCGCCCCTGGTGTGAGCAAGCTTTGGTCAACCGTGAAGTCGTTGTCCAACCCGACGAATCGGGACGACAGAGTCGAAATAGACTTTGGTGACCACACCTCGTCGGACTCGGAGCGAGGCGCGAGCAATTTTAGCCAGCAGTTCATAAAGCCAAACGTCGAGTGACCGGAAGACTGCACAAAATGCCAAAACCCAGTGCGCCTCTTGTTTTCACCAGCGGTGAGGTAAGGGTAGCCATCGGGAAGGCGAAAGCCTCCAAAGCCATTAGACCCGATGGAATATGCATGTTGGTGCTGAAAAATNAAAGTTATCTCGCCGAACTTTCTCGCTTCTTCACTGCAAGGAGCCTTGGAGATGGCGTAACAATACCGACCGTGAATCNAGCGCCACAACCTTCGTCAGGCCGATCCCGGAAATCCCCGTATCAGAGATCTCAATTCGGAGATTCGGCAACTTGTGAACATGCATAAGCANGTATTAAGGATCCACGTCCGAACTTTCCTGCTGAAGCGGCTGTTCTAGCCTATGAGCGCCACAACCTTCGTCAGGCCGATCCCGGAAATCCCCGTATCAGAGATCTCAATTCGGAGATTCGGCAACTTGTGAACATGCATAAGCAGAAGAAATGGGAAGAGCATTTGAAGACCTGCAACTTCGCCCCTGGTGTGAGCAAGCTTTGGTCAACCGTGAAGTCGTTGTCCAACCCGACGAATCGGGACGACAGAGTCGAAATAGACTTTGGTGACCACACCTCGTCGGACTCGGAGCGAGGCGCGAGCAATTTTAGCCAGCAGTTCATAAAGCCAAACGTCGAGTGACCGGAAGACTGCACAAAATGCCAAAACCCAGTGCGCCTCTTGTTTTCACCAGCGGTGAGGTAAGGGTAGCCATCGGGAAGGCGAAAGCCTCCAAAGCCATTAGACCCGATGGAATATGCATGTTGGTGCTGAAAAATTTGGGTCCTGCGGGAGTAGCGTACCTAACGGAGGTCCTCAACCTGTCTATGACCACTCTCGTCATTCCAGACATCTGGAAAATGGAGAGAGTGGTCCCACTGCTCAAACCGGGGAAACCAGCCAACAAAGGAGAGTCTTATCGCCCAATAACTCTCCTTTCCCCGGTAGCGAAGACACTCGAGGCCCTGCTACTCTCGTATTTTACGGACAACCTGACCCCAGCGAAGCATCAGCATGGGTTCCGTAAAGTGAATAGCACAACAACAGCACTTAACGCCATAAACACTCAGATAACTCGTGGCCTTAACCGAAACCGCCCCTGTGAGAGAACCATTCTAGTAGGACCTGTCCAAGGCGTTCGACACTGTCAGTCATTCAACGCTACTAGAAGATATAGAGGCCTCCTCACTCCCACAGGGACTCAAATGGTGGTCGGCGAATTACCTGAGTGTTCGAAACTTGTCAGTAATTTTCAGAGACAAAACTATCAAGCAACGTAAAATTAAACCGGGGGTACCACAGGGTGGTGTCCTGTCCCCTCTACTATTTAATTATTACATTTCAAAGCTTCCTCAACCACCAGAGGGTGTCAATATTGTCTCCTATGCTGACGATTGTTCGATCATGGCGTCTGGGAATGGAATTGATGACTTGTGCTCGAAAGTTATCTCGCCGAACTTTCTCGCTTCTTCACTGCAAGGAGCCTTGGAGATGGCGTAACAATACCGACCGTGAATCACCCGAAAATCCTCGGAGTTACCTTCGACAGTCTGCTCTCCTTCTCGGCGCATACAACGGCGTTCACAGGGAATCAGTCTCGAGTTATGTAGACTCCCGCCCTGTGAATGCCGTTCTAGGCACACAACCACCGGACGTGGACGGCACAGAACTATGTCTGCTCGGGAGACCCGCACTACAATATCCCAACTTCGCTCTGGCTATTGCAGCAGGCTAAACTCTTACCTGAGCAGAATCAATGAGGATGTCCCCAACCAATGCCCGGTATGTGGAGAGTCGCCACATGACTCCTGGCACCTCTTCACATGCCCTGAGAACCCCACTCAGCTGACGCCCCTGTCCCTATGGACAGACCCGATGGAAGTCGCACACTTCCAGGGCCTACCCTTAGCTGAAATGGACGACAACGTTGACGGGTGAACCGACCCGAGCGGGGCTTATTAGCCACTACAAAAACAACAACAACAACTAGGAAAAATCAGCTGTTTATGGTTATGGTACCTATAATCGAGGATAGTTAATGTGGTTACGGTTATGGCAATAGTTATGGCTATAGCGTTATGTAAGTCGAAAACCAGTTATAGCAACGAAAACATGTTTTCGATGTCGGTCCGAACATGGTATAAAAGTGTGTTTGCATTGTTCAACTTAACGTTCAACTCAGCGCAGGGTTGAACGAAAAAAAAGTTGAGTGGCTGAAAATATCAAAATATGAAAAAATACCAAAATATTCGCCACAAAAAGGTATTTGCATTGTTCAATTTTGCATTCAACGTTTAGTTGAATGGCCTTCAGTGTTGCCATTTGAGCCCTTTTCTGGCTAGATTTAGCCGGTTGCGATAGAAACCAGCTGGAGAAATTTCGGTTGATCCGGCAGCCGATTTGTTTGCCGTTTTGTAAAAAAAAATAGCCGTTTTTAGCCGATTTTGCTATTTGCCTTGTGTTCTTAAAATTCAAATACATATGTTTCCATTTTTGATAAAGCGACCCAAAATCTGTTAGAAATGGCTACTATCCTTATCGCGGAGAAAATTTTCATATCAGGCAGGGTTATATAAAATTGGGCTGCTTTCGCTTATTTTTATTTAAAACGAATATATTTTTTCTAAAGAAGGCCGTAGCGGGGATTTTCTTCATAAAATGTTTGTTATGAATGTCTTTAATTTAAATGTGAAGTTTTATTCGCAAACTTAGAAAATAACAAATTGTTTCACTGTTTGCTTAACACGCTTTTGTGTTTGGATATAGTGCCAACACACAGAATAAATATTACAGGTAGATATTGTCTTCCCAGATAGCGCATATTCAATTCTGCCTTAATTACAAAACATAATTTTTGCCTACACCCAAAGGTAAGGGAAAATAAATATTTTCAAGCATTTGTACACATATGTATTTTTTTAAACAAACTTTAAAGTTGGTCGCCAGCCCACATTTAGCCATTCAACTTTTTTTCGTGAAATTCATAGGGAGTAGTTGCCTCAGAATCGGCAGTACTGTGAATTTGGCCCTAAATCTGTTGAAATTTCAACCCATCGCTTCAATTTGCTCCCGTTTATGGCCTCTTTCATTACTGCTCGGTTATTCGACCCAACCGACGTTAGCACCCCACTTGTAAAAATATTAAAATTTTTGTATTGCAATCGATAGTTCGTCGATCGTTCTTTAATGTTCGTCCATTTTTAACGTTTGTTCGTTAGCCAACAATTTATAATTAATTCTCCAATTTTTACTTTACGTCATTCCTGAAGTTAGCACCCGCAACAGGTTATTTTGGGTTAATTATTATTGCAATCGATAGTTCGTCGTTTGTTATTCATTGTTCGTCCATTTTTAACGTTTGTTCCTAAGCCAAACATTTATAATTAATTTTTTACATTTTACGGTTCCTGCCTTTAGCACCCTAAATGTAAGAATTTCATTATTTTCATTTGTTAACTGTGAGAAATCGTTTGTTCGTCGTTTTCCCATCCCTAAAATCGAGCAAAACNAACATTTATAATTAATTTTTTACATTTTACGGTTCCTGCCTTTAGCACCCTAAATGTAAGAATTTCATTATTTTCATTTGTTAACTGTGAGAAATCGTTTGTTCGTCGTTTTCTCATCCCTAAAATCGAGCAAAACCGTTAATAAATTCATAATTTTTACTTTACGTTAAACATGACGTAAACGTTTAAACAATAATTGGAATTGGTNAGTTGGCCATCTTTCTGCGTTGTGTTGGCGTTGGCGTTGCCCAACTTTGGTTATATGGAGACTTTCATATAAATACATGTATTCATAGTCAGCTGTCGAAGCGACGCCAACGCCAACGCAACGCCAAAGTTGTATGTAAACGGGCCTTAATAAATTCATAATTTTTACTTTACGTTAAACATGACGTAAACGTTTAAACAATAATTGGAATTGGTGCCGATTTTAAAACTATGGACACAGTTGGAAAAGTGATTGAAGGACCTTTCATTCGATATATATTTATGTATGTAATGTATACATATTTTAAGAAAAAGTACAAAAACTTAATTATGGAAATTTTTATCATAAAAATGTATGTTCTTCGTAAAAAAATACGTAATTAACTATGTTAACAAATATGATTATCAGAAAAAGCACAAAAATATCTTTAATTTGATGTATGACTTGTAACGAAAAATTCCTCTGCACATTATATTTGTTTAAATATATATTAAAATATCGTTTTATATGAAAAAGAAAGGCGGCAATTTGGANGTAAAAAAATACGTAATTAACTATGTTAACAAATATGATTATCAGAAAAAGCACAAAAATATCTTTAATTTGATGTATGACTTGTAACGAAAAATTCCTCTGCACATTATATTTGTTTAAATATATATTAAAATATCGTTTTATATGAAAAAGAAAGGCGGCAATTTGGAATAAAAAAGGGTTGGCTTTCCAAAACGGAACCAATCGAGATTTCAGCGAAAGTATATGGAATTTAGTCATGAAACTTGGTCAGGATGTTGGGGGAGGCTTTCTCTACATGAATATATCACTCTCACAAAGTAGTTGCTAATAGTATTTAAGCAATTTGTTGTTAAATAATCTTCACCACCACCCCCAATTTTTTGTACAAAACGACACTTATCAATTGTATTTTGATTGATATACAATATCTTCACGTGCGTATTTTATACTTTAAATATATATATATTCATCAATTAATTAATTAAAACGCGTTTATAAATCCATTCACTCGTTTTACCACTTTTCACAAACAAACAGAAATAACAATGGCCGACAGTAAGAGCAAAAGTGTGCTGCCATACTTCTCGAAGCTATAAAATACAACCATAAACCATATTATTTCCGTTTTTGACTCAAAATTTTCGGCTGCTGGGCTTTTTATTATAAAATCGATACTTCGATAAGTAATGACAAGTTTTAATAAAAAATCTCGCAATTTTTTCCCGCGATTTTTAATGAAAAATTTTCATTATTTATCGAAGTACCGATTTTAAAATAAAAAGCGGCGCAGGCGAAAATTTTTAATAAAAAATTCATTTCATCATTCATCATTTAGTTTTTTCATTGTTTCCGTTTTCTGTTTTTTTTTTTGCATTTTTTAGTATGCCAGCACCGACATTTCTGTTCAGTTGGCGTACAAGGGAAAAAGGTTGAATTCGGTATTTTTTGCAACTTTAAATGCGAATTACTTAAAAACTATAAGCCCCCGGAGGGTGGGGTCTTCAGATTTAGAATCTGAAAAAGCTCCTCTATACTCCCTAATATTTGGTTTTTTCCAAAGCTTGGATCCGTTTTGGAAATTTTTTTTTATTCCAAATTTTCATTAGCTGTATAGTGAACTATCGTTTTATATAAAAACTTAAAAAAACGCCGCAGGTATATATTAAAGTATGCTTTTATATAAAACAAAAGCGCCGCAGGTATATATTATAAAGTATGCTTTTATATAAAAAAAGAAAAAAGCGCCGCAGGAGAAAATTTTTAATAAAAAATCGGAACAACGTCGTCTTCGTAAAACTTACGTAAACTTTAAAATTTTTTAAAGTACAATCTTCTGAAACTTCAAAATGTAGACGAAAATGTTTATGATGACAATGATTACGAAATTAAAATAAATTAATAGAATATAACATTAATATGGTGGGTTTATTTCACTGTTGGCAGTTGTACTTAAACCTAACTATATAAAATTATACGTCAAATTAAAGGTATTTTTGTGCTCTTTCTGACAAACATATCTTTTATTATAGTTAGTTGCGTATTTTTACGAAATAAATTTTTATAAAAAAATTTCCGTAAAATGATTTTGCTACTTTTTCTCGAAATATGTATACGTTGTGTACATAGATACAGATACCTGTGTCCATATTTTGAAAATCGATTCAAAAATTTTCGAAATATACCCCCTTATTCTAGAACCCGAATTTTCGTAATTCGTAATTCGTAGCTATGCTACGAAAAACGAAAAACCCACATGCTGCAACCCTTGCGGAAACATATGCAGCATTGCCAGCTATTAGTTGTTTTTCGAAGACAGCTGAATGAAGGAAAACAAAGTGGAAAGGAATTAAAAAAACACTCATCATGTGCTTGTTTATTGTATAATTGGTTAATTTTACATATTTCGAGGAAAATTATGGATTCTGATGTATTTGCAATTATAGCAGCACAGTAAGCGGGCGCTATGGCAATGGATTCACAGAGGTATGCGGAGCTGCCGGGCATAGTAACCATAAGCGCATCTATGTCAGCTTCTGGTTGAATTGTTGAACCACAAGCCAGAACTTCTCCTATGCCTGAAGCTCTGGTTCCCAATCCAGTTAATGCAATAACAGCTTCTTCAAAGCCATTGAAAACATGCACTTTGTTAGGACAACCACCTGTTGCGCTTGCTTCTGCCTTCGGCAGCGCCTAGGGATTATAACCCCTACTAAGTAGAATTCTCCTTTCTATGTTGCGGGGAAGTGGGGCTTCCGCATGTCAAAGGTATACAACATTTCTTGTGCACATCACTCCGGCTACGCCGTCCAGTGTTTTTGCGCAGAACCCACGTCGAAATTTGCAAAAAAGTGCATAGTGCAAACCGAGTTTATTAATAAGCTAGTGGTAGGAAATTTGAAACATTTATCTTAAATAAAATGTGAATCCTTTGATTACACGTGTATGTTAAAGTTTTTGGATTCGGGTTATGCGTTTGGACACAACAACCTTAAGTAAACCGGACCTAAGTTTCTCGATAAGGGGCAACAAATATTCTTTTTTGCACGTTTATATAAAGCAGTGGATAAAAATATACGTATATGCGAAAAGCAAATTTATCTGTTTAAATTAACACCACCAATATTTCTTGCGAACACACATCGATTTACATCTTTTATTGCGCCTCCAACACAGAATTGTTTTCGTACAAAATTACGCAAAAAAGCTTACTCGTCCGTTTTTAGGCATGCCATTGTTACGAATTTGGAAAGTCCGAAAATACGATTTGGATTGCAGCATACTATTTCTACGATTCGTAGCAAAATCCGGGGTGATAAGCTTTTGAAAGTGTTGAAAATTCCACGTTAAGCCCCCTAGCGCCGCCCTTGTCAATTAAGCAAAAAGGAACCACGTCCACTATTTCTTTTTTCTCTGATAATTTGCACAAATAAAAATATGCCGTTAAAATCAGGAAAAGAGGGCGGTCCACGCCTACTTTTTTTTTAGCTCATCGGCCACAATTCCAATTATTGTTTAAACGTTTTCGTAATGTTTAACGTAAAGTAAAAATCATGAATTTATTAACGGCTTTCGCTCGATGTTAGGGATGAGAAAACGACGAACTAACGACAAACAACCGATTTATCACAGTTAACAAATGAAAATAATGAAATTCTGACATTTGTGCTGCTAAAGGCAGGAACTGTAAAATGTAAAAAATTAATTATAAATGTTTGGTTTAGGAACAAACGTTAAAAATGGACGAACAATGAAGAACAAACGACGTACTATCGATTGCAATAATAACACTGGACCACAAATTTCAACTTTTTCTCTTTACCAGAAACG